CACGGCGAGGGCGTGACGCGGCTCAACACGCCGACCCGCCTCCCTTCCACGCTGGGTGGTGAGCGCGCCGTGAGTGTGGCGGTTGGAGGATTCCACGATCTCGCCCTCACCAGCAGCGGCGCCGTTTGGAGCTGGGGCCAGGGAGGCTTGGGCGCGCTGGGCCACGGCGACCATCAGGGCCAGTGGCAGCCGACGAAGATTGCGGCCTTTGCGGGCCAGAGCGTCGTCGCAGTCTCGGCTGGACTCGAGCACAGCCTCGCCCTCACCGGCAACGGCGTCGTCTGGAGCTGGGGCGATGGAGAATACGGCAAGCTGGGCCACAGCGACGAGGAGAAGCAGCCGCTGCCCAAGAAGGTCGAGGCCTTTGCGGAGCGGAGCGTTGTCGCTGTGTCGGCTGGAGTGGCTCACAGCCTCGCCCTCACCGCCGACGGCGCCGTCTGGAGCTGGGGCTGGGGAACCTCTGGTCAGTTGGGCCACGGCGACGAGGAGAACCAACTGCTGCCCACGAAGGTCGAGGCCTTGGCTGGCCAGCGCGTCGTGGCCATAGCGGCTGCGTGGCAACATAGCCTCGCCCTCACCGCCGACGGCAGCGTCTGGAGCTGGGGTGGGGGAGGCTTTGGCCAGCTTGGCCACGGCGACGAGCAGGACCAGCTGCTGCCCAAGAAGGTCGAGGCCTTCGCTGACCAGCGCGTCGTCGCTACGTCGGCGGGAACCGGCCACAGCCTCGCCCTCACCTCCGGCGGCGCCGTCTGGAGCTGGGGCGCTGGAGTCTGCGGCCAGCTGGGCCACGGCGACGAGCAGCGGCAGATGCTGCCCAAGAAGATCGAGGCCTTCACTGGGCAGCGCGTCGTCGCTGTGTCGGCTGGTTACCAGCACAGCCTCGCCCTCACCGCCGACGGCGCCTTCTTCTCGTGGGGCGAGGGCCGCCACGGCTGCCTAGGCCACGGAGAGGACCTGTCGAACCAGCTGCTGCCCAAGAAGGTCGAGGCGTGGGCGCCGGGGCAGTGAGCAGGGAAGGAGGCGAGGAGCGCAGGAGCCGAGGTTACTGACGTTGCTGCTGTTACACCTAGTGGTCCATCACGGGTACGGGCAATCCCCCTCGAACCCCCCCGTGCTAGGACGCGACAGTGTGTACTTCCAACAACAGCTGTGTGAATTCCCCCCAGCCCCACGCCTACGTGTGTTGTTTCGCACAACCCAGGGGGCGAGATCGTGTTGTAATGTGAACGTACCGTAGCTAGCATTGAATCGGCAGATTCAGCCTCATATCTCCAGTATTCTCATATCCCAGTTAGTGCCTAGTGTGCCAGTCCCGTGCCTAGAGAGGGCAGAGGGGTCGTGTTGGAGTTTTGTTGCAAAATTCTCATATCAGTTTTATCACTTCCCAGTGGATGGACGTATCGCCGTCCGCCACGCGCCAGGCCCAAAGTGGTGTGTTGGGTATCTCTTCAGAGCCGAAAAAGCCCACGCATTTTTGTGCCCTGCCAAGCTCCTGCGCCACAGAACAGCTACAGTCGCGCGGCCTACACCATCAAGGCGGGGTTGTCGCACAGCCGAGGTACGGCTGCCTCGTTCGGGGTCCGCGCCATCTTGGGCGATCTCGCGCTATCTCGGGCGATCTCGGGGCCGCGCCGCGCTATCTCGGGCGATCTCGGAGCGTCGCTCGCGCGGCGGCCACACCTAGTTGCTCAAAAAGCGGTCCGGTCGGCAGGTTTAGGGAAGGAGGGGACGCAGCGAGCGTCCACCCCCCGGGTCCAGCGCGCGGCTCGCGCGCCGCCCCACCCACGCCGGCCCGCGAGGGCCGGTCGTCCATCGCCATGTCCCGGGTCGTCCAACGTGACGACTTTTTCTTCAACTTTGGCGCACTTAAGCACTTGAGCACTGGATAGGGTCGATTCCGCATGGTACGGGACCCCTCGATCGTCTCGCCCTCCCTCACTGGTGTGTTCATTGGGGGGTCATAACAAATACGCGGTACACAGGAAGGATCGGTGTGCACGCTGCTGGACTTTGGCGTTTAGAGATTGTTGTTGGTTCCTGCGCTCGCGCGAATTCTTTTGTGATTCGTATCTGCTGTGGCGGCGGCGTCGACTGCTGCGGCAGTGGTTTTCGCCACGGCCAAAACCCTACCGCCTCTGCGCCGCGCCGCACCGCAGCGCCGCACCGCCACGCTGCACCCTCCATCTCCACCTCCGCCCACCCACCTCCCCGCCTCCCCTCCACCTCCGTGGGGGGGGTTTGGTGCTGTCACCTCTGCCCCCTTCCACCCGTGCCCCCCGCACCACCGCCGCCTCCCTCTCCCCTCGACCTGCTCCTCACATAAACCGCCGCGGCCGTAGTGGGGGACCGGGGGGGGCGGGTGGAGGAGGGCGGCCCATCGGGCCGCCATCGCCGTCGGGGAGAGGGGGGACGACACTGCTTCGGCAGCGTGCACCTCGACCCTGTACCGTGTTTGTTATTCAGATGATAGATGTACAAATGTTCCAGAGCCATGAGGAGTCGTTCGCACGCTACTACAACGCAAACCAAGGGTTAGAGCATCCGCACTGGTCAGCTGGTGATGATCTTTACGAATGCAGCTTGATGTACCCGTTGGGCGTTGGTGTGGAGTACATCAACTTCCACTACGCGCTTTTTGTTTTTGGACTCGAACACGCCAGCATCGAAGGATGCTTATCAAGAATGCTGCTTCTCCAGCGAGGATAAATCCTTTGTGCAGGATCACGCTCCAAACCGGCCTTCAGTCTGTTGTCTTGTGGGGCAGCGCGTTCGATGTGAGTTCTCGCACCGTTGACGGGTTCCATGACCAAAAGAGGGGCCCGATCATGTTGTGGCGTCCAAGGGACGAATGCCCCCGCGAGGAGTGAGACGATCGAGGGGTCCCGTACCCGTACCACGCGGAATCGGACCCTATCCGGTGCTCAAGTCACAAGTGCTCAAGGGTTTGTCCGGTGGGGGCGGCGGGGCGGAGCGAGCATTCAGGATTCAGCAGCATAGGAGCAGTCGCTCACGCGGCTCTCACGCGCTCAGCGCTGTGTGGCCTGTGCAGGTGTTTCCCGACGCAAAAAAGGGGGAGAGATTAGCGGAGATGAGGCGATGGCGTCCAGTTGAGCCGAGGGAGGAGAGGCAGTGGAGCCGAAACGCTGCTCTGTATTAAGGGGGGGGGGGGGGGGGTTAAGCTTCCGAGGAGGCCACCGGCCAAAAAAGCGCATGTCTTGAAGGTCCGATACTGGAAGCCCAGATATAGGCACCCTACACTCCCCCGCAGTATCGCACCTCTTGAGCGACACTACGTTTCCGCAGCTGGGGATTCTCCGGGTACCCCTCTTTGTACCCGTGCTGGCCGGATTCCTCCTCCGACAACGCAAGTTCGATCGGCCCCAGTCTCGAACTGGCAGCCACTAACTATCTCACCGGAGGTACCATGTCCGAGGAGGCCACCGGCCAAAAGCGCATGTCTTGAAGGTCCGATACTGGAAGCCCATATAGGCACCCGACAAGAACGGTAGGTAGGTAGGCAGAAAGGTGAAGAACAGCCAGGCTCGGACTGGACACCAACGCGGTATGGGTGGACGCTAGACAGATGATGACGACACGCACGAGCGACACACAGACACAAACAGGCTCACAAGACACACAGACAGCCAGCTGGCTGCCACACACCCTGAGTTGGCGTACACATAACTCAAGGCCACCCTGTCGCCCCCCCCCCAGCACTCCACGGTGCCAAGAGAACAAACAAGCACAACAAACAACAGACAACGGGAAGTACTCTGAGTAACATGGTACATGCGAGGCTAGAGCAGCCTTGCTCCACCTCTAGCAATCTCGCGGGCCGGCGAGGCACGGACGAGACTGTGTGTGGGGTCTAGTGAGGTGTCTATGGACGCCCTCCTCACAGGCTAGCTGCCTACTGCTAGCCCTAAGAACGCTTCTCTCGGTCCGCAGAGCGTTTGGGCGGCACTTACTTTTGGCGTGGCCCACCCACGCACACCGAGAAGATCTTGTGGATGGCTCACAAGCTCATGCTACGCCTCCTCCTCTGCTCGGCACTCCCCTCGGCGTTCGCGGGCCGCCTCGAGTATCGCTTCGGCCAGCAGCGCGACATGCTCCCGATTGCGACAAGACTGCTTCGCGAAAAGATGAACCCGCTCTTCCTGTCTGCAGACCGATTCCTCGTCTGTCGCGAGTCCGAATCGGGTGCGCTGGTTGGCTTTGGGCAGATACGCCAGCTCGCCAAGAGCAACGCGGCCGATCCGGCTCGATTCGACGCCCCGCCCGGCTCGGGCGAAGCTGGGCAGCCCGCCGATGATGACGCTTGGGATGACTTTGACCGCGCCTACGCCGCGTCGGCGCCGGAGAGCGGGCTCGACGCGCTGCTGCCCTGGTCGGCCAGGTACAGAGAGCTCGCGCAGCGCGCGGCGGTGCAGCGGGAGCGGCGGCGTTCGCGGGTGAGCCAGGCGGAGACGGAGGCGGCGCCGCTGTGGGAGCTGGCGTCGGTGTACGTGGGCGAGCAGTGGCGTGGCCGCGGCGTGGGGAGCGAGCTCGTGCGCCGGCTGTGCGCGCGGCACGTGCAGCGCGGCGGCGCGAGGCGCGACCTCTACCTGATCACCCTGGAGCCGACCTGCGGCTGGTACGAGGGCCTCGGCTTTTCTCGGGTGGAGCGGCAGGACCTGCCGCCGCAGATGGGCCTCGAGGTGGCGGCCGGAGAGGCCGTCTCGTGGGTGCTGGGCAACCGGCTGGTGTGCATGCGCGGGACGGGCGGCGCCGGCGAGAAGGTAAGGTAAGGTACCCTTTCACGAGACGCGCTAAACTCCCGCGCGTGGCAGGTGTGTGCTCACATACTCTCGCGCGTGTGCTCTTGCCTCTTGGGAAGGGGCCGGTCACGTGTCTGACCTCAGCGCTCAGGCGGCAGATATAGAGATATATTTGTTGTTTCAGATATATCGAAAAAAAACTCTTCTCATGTCGGATCTTCTTTGCATGCCACCATGCCACCCTTAGTCATGATCGCGATAACCTTTTTTGCTTTTCCGGCTGGCACCGCGCTCGGTGATGAACGCGCTGACTGCCCTGGTCTCGGCCTCGGCCACCTCTTCAGGCAAGGGCAGCTTGCCCAGTGCAATACTCTCGCGAAGCTGCGCTCGGATACTCGGCACAGCCGCTCGGTCCAGTAGCTCGTTCACCACCTCCGTGTCGGCCGCGGTCAACGCGACGTACGCGTGGCCGTGACCAGCGCTGTGGAGCGGCCACACGACCTGCTCGTAGAGCGTGCTTAGCGCGTGGCCGTGTGCTCGGGCCACGTGTGCGAGCAGCGTGTGCACCGCTAGCGAGCGCTGCCACCGTCTCTCACACTCGCGGAAGCGCTCCGGCTTCGACTCCTGCTTTAGGTCAATGAACCATTTGATGGGTGCGCCAGGCGCCTCCTGCTGCGTCGTCAGCTTCTGGATGCGGCATGTGACGTACTTGCCCACCCGGTATGTCATATGCAGCTTCGCCGAGCGGCTCGATGATGCACCGCCGCCGCTCGACGACCCACTGCGCGAGATCTCCTTTGCCATGAGCATGCCCTCGACCCCATTTGCGTACTCGACGAGGCTCACATAGATGCCCATGTCCTGCACCACCTTGGTGATCTGCGCCTTGACCACATCGCCCTCGCGCGGAGGCCCCGGGTACATGTGGCACTCGAGCACGGGAGCAGCCGGCGGCGGAAGGCTGCCGCCCTCCTCGGCGGCGATGAGGGCGATCGGTGAGCCTCGGCTACCGGGGGAGGCGCCCTCGAGCGGGGGGCGCTCACCATGGCTCATGGATGGGGGGCGAGTTTCCCATAAGTAGGGTAGGTAGGTAGGTAGGTAGGTAGGGGCAGGGCAGGGGGCCGGCCGGGTTTTTGCAGAATTTCATCATGAGGCCCGCCCCAAGCAAAAATAAACACCGAACATCAAGCGCGCGTGTGGTGCACTTGGAGCACTTGGAGTGCAGTCGGCAGGGTCCAAAGCTTTTTTTTTGGCGTTGCTCGATCGGCGCCTGCGCAAGCCACACGTGCATGTAAAGGCATGTGTGTATGTCCTCCGGCGCCTCCGCCCGGCTGGCCTGCCACGACTACCGGCTCACCTGCGTTGCCGGCGCTCAGCCGGCGCGCGCCACGCTCTCGCTCGACGGCGCCGCCACCGCCGCCACCACGGGCCTCGCTCGCGTGTTGGCCCGCCGCCGCCGCCCGTCGCAGGCCTCTGCTGATGGCGACTGCCACGGCGCGCCGCTGCTGCTTGGTGCGGCGGCACCCGGCGGGCCGTGCCGCGCGGGCGACTCGTTCGTCGCGCCGCAATGCACGGCGGCCGACCTGCTGCCGCCGCCGCCAGAGCCGCCCCCGCAGGCGTCGGCTGCTGGTGCGGCGCCGGTGGATGTGCTGCTCGCGACGTGCGACAACGCCGGCCACGGCCTCTTCGCCCTCCTGGAGCGCGTCGTCAACCAGGTCCTCCTCGCGCGCCGGCTCCGGATGGAGGTGTACGTCTTTGTCGGCCCAGTCGTGCTCGCCGGGCCGGGCTGCCCGCTCCTCTCGCAGCCATACTTTGACCGGAGGCATGGCGACAACGTGTGGGAGTACTTCTTCCGGCAGCCCGGCGCGTACCGCCGCGGCGATCGCTCGGTGGGGGGCCGGCCCGTCCGCTCCCTCCAGGTGGTGAGCCCGGAGTCGCTCTACTCACCGGCGCAATCGGCCGGCGGCTTCACGCAGGCGTACGGCCCCAGAAGCAGAAGACGGTGTTCATGTATCCCAACTAGCGCTCGAGAGGGCAACGTGTTCCACTGTACTCGGCCGTATTCGGCTGTATTCGCTGTCTCCGCCTCTCTTGTATCCACGCGGTGCTCTGAATACATTCCCAAGACCGTCTTCCCGCCCCGAGGTTGGCGCCTTCTGCACGCAGGCTGCCCATATCTCCCCATATCTCCCCATATCTCCCCATATCTCCCGCCCTGAGGTTGGCGTACCCACCACGCAGGCTGCCCATATCTCCCCATATCTCCCCATATCTCCCCATATCTCCCCATATCTCCCGCCCCGAGGTTGGCGTACCCACCACGCAGGCTGCCCATATCTCCCCATATCTCCCCGTATCTCCCGCCCCGAGGTTGGCGCATTCTGCACGCAAGGCGTACGACGCGTCGCCTTCCTTTGACCCGCGCGCGCGCGGCGAGCGGCGGCGAGCGGCGGCGTCGGTGCTCGCCAACGGGTCGCTGGTGCGGCCGAAGCTGCTGAAGCACGCGTGGCGGCTGTTTGCGCCGTGGCGCCGCGCGAGCTCGCACGTGCTCGGCCTGCGCGACCCGCAGGGCGGCCAGCAGTGTCGTGGCGCGAACGGCGCCTCTTCACAGCCGGAGGTGTGAGCAGGCTTGCACATCCGTGGGACGGACAAAGTGGTGCACAAGAAGGTGCCCCCCGAGGCGTACTTCCCCTTTGCAGACGCTTGGGTGGAGGCGCACCCCGGCGGGCTCCTCTTCGTCGCGACGGACGAGGCGGCACACATGCACACAGTACACAGCACACAGCACACAGCACACAGCACACACACACACGCACGCACGCACACGCACACGCACACGCACACGCACACGCACACGCGCACGCGCACGCGCACGCGCACGCGCACGCGCACACGCACGCGCACACGCACACGCACACGCACACACACGCACGCACACACACACACACACACACACACACACACACACACACGCACGCACACACACACCACACCGCTCACCCACGCGCACCGGGCCCTTACACTTTTACTGCCGTGCGGCTCCTGTCGTCTAGACGTGGAGTCGCGAGGGACCAGCCTGGCCCTTGCCCCACCGCCTCGTGTGTGCGGAGAAGTCCACCTTGCTTGACTTTCCCTCCCCTTAGGCCGCCTACTTGCGCCGTGTCGTCGCGAGGTACGGAGAGTGGGAGGGCGGCGGCGGCGAGCTCCCCTCGCGGCCGGCATGCGCGGGTGGGCGGGCGGCGGGCGGCGGCGTGTGCGGTGGGCGGGCGCTCTTCCAGCAGGGCGGCGGGATGGGGCATGCCCAGGCCGCGTGCGTGACCTGTCTGAGGCTTGTCCAGGTGGTCTACCAGCAGGGCGGCTACGAGAGCGACGACATCATCCACGACCGCACCCTCTCGGGCCAAGCAAAGGGCCTCTCGGCGCTCGCATCTCGGGCCTATCGGAGAGGAGGAGAGGCGGGGCCGGGGGGTGAGGAGGGGCGAGGAGAGTCGGGGCGAGGCGGGGTTGGGTGTGGAGAGGCGAGGAGAGGTGGGGTGGGGAGAGGCGAGGTGAGGAGCGGTCGGGTGAGGATCGACTGTTCCTCGAACTTGGAGCAGGCGCACATCGCTTCCAGGGAGGGGGGCGCCCTTCTACTCACGCCCCACCCCCCCCCTAGCATGTGGTGAAGCCTCTGGGGGGGGCCGACCCCCCCCCCCTAGCATGTGGTGTGAGTAGAAGTCTGGAAGCGATGTGCGCCTGCTCTTGCAACTAGCAGCCGATCCGCTCACCTCGCATTGGGGACTGCGTAGGCACTCCTCGACTCCCTGCTCCTCTCGCACTGCGACTACCTGCTGCACGCGGCCTCCGCCCTCTCCGAGGCCGCCATCTGGTTCGCGCCCCGACTCCACGATGCCTCCCTCAACCTGCAGTACACCGACCGGCTCCGCTCGCAGAGGCTGCCGCCGTGGGCAGCCGCCGTCGGTAGCACCAACTTGCGCCCGTCCACATGCAACGCAGCCCACACCCACACACCCACACCCACACCCACACCCACACCCACCCGCACCCGCCCACCCCCTCACCCACCCGCCCGCACCCGCCCACACCCACACCCACCCGCCCGCACCCGCCCACACCCACACCGAACCACCCGCACCCGCCCACACCCACACCCAGGCGCCGACGACGCCGCGCCCTTCTGCGACGCGCTCGCGCGCGGCTGCGAGGTCGACGCGGCGGCACGGTCGGCCCGCGGACAGCCGCTTCTCCGGCGAGGGCAGTGCGCCGCCTGCGACGCGTGGGTCGGGAGGCGCGCGCGGCGGACGGCGCGCGCGTCGCGGCGGGTGGCGGCGGGCTCGTGCGCCGGCGCGGGGCTCCGCCCGCTCACCGAGGCAGAGTGCGTCGCCTATGCGCGGGCGGGCGGGCTGACGCACCTCGGCTCGAGCAGCGAGCCTTCCGAGCCGAGGGGCTGTGCGCTGTGGCGAGGAGCGACGACCGAGTTCAACCGCGCGCCGGCCGGCGGTGGCGCGCCGGCGCCCGGCTGCGAGACGCTGAGGGGGGCGGAGGGCGAGTGCGTGTGCGCGCCGCCGACGGGATCTTGACACCCAAAGTTGGCAAGTAACCTGTCGACTGAAAAGTTAAAGTACATCAAACCAAGACGCCTGATGTGTGGAGCGCGCGGCCGCGGGCTCACATCTCCAGGCCCAGGGCCGGGGAGCTAAGATGTAATAATTTAGGGGGGGCGGTAAACCTGCCCCGTGCTCCAGACGTGGCTGAGGAAGAGGTGCCACTCCTGGCCGTCGGCGAGGGCCGAGGGTGATGCCGTCGCGCACCGGCTCGCGCTTCGACGAGACGAGCCGCATGGTCTTCGCCCTCGAGGCGCTGACCGCCAATACAACGATGACGGCTAGCGAGATGGCGAGCATGACCGCGGTGAGGACGACGACGAAGGTGGTGGCGCCGCGAGAAGTCGTGTAGCCAACGAGGGTGTAGCACATGTCTTCGCACGCGGTGCTGTCGCACAGCTGCGGCGGTGGGGAGCGGGTGGTGTGAGGTTGCGCGGATGAGGGAGAGAGAGGGAGGCGAGGAAGTGCCAGCAGGGGCGCGGACCTGGATGTATGACCACTCCCGACGCGAAGCAGCAGGTTGGTGAGGAGCAGGTTGGCGACGCACGCGAGGCAGAGGTCGTCGAAGCGCCGGTAGGGTCGGGCGAGCGCTAGGCAGGTGAGAAACATGGCCGACCACGGTGCGCAGCAGCTTGCGGGAGCCGTAATCCTGGTCGATGAAGAGGACCATCGAGGTGAGGAAGATCTTGCGGACCAGGTCGAGCACCTCCCAGAAGAGGAAGCGGCCAGAGTAGTCCCGCCATAGGAAGCTCGTCGCACGAGAGAGCGGCGTTGCGCGCTGCGCAGCCACGGGCTTGCGGACGCGGAGCAGCAGCGCCAAGAAGCCGAGCGGCACAAGGACGGGCCAGAGGGCGAAGAAGGCCCAAAAGTACGGCGCGAGTCCGCCCGTCTCGTCGTCCCACGTAGGGCCGGCGTCGCACGTGAGCGACGGGTCGGCGAGCAGGAAGCTGATGCGCTGGCCTGTCGCGTCGTCGTAGCGAAAGGACTCGCACAGCCTCGCGCTGAAGATGGAGCGCGAGACGGAGGGAAGCACCAGGTAGAAGATGAAGATCGCCCAGTAAAGGAGGCGGCCGAGCAGCTGGCGGTCAGCAGCTGGCGGTCGAATGCCTGCTTGTTGTTGAGGACCGCCGCCGCCACCACAATGGCGAGCGACACGAAGGCGACAGCGGCGTACGGCCAGGTGCCCGCGACAAGCAGCCGCGTGCTCATGGCTCCGATGCAGCGGCCGGGGATGGCGACGCGACGAGGCCGAGGCTGCTGCTCACCTGGTAGAAGCTGACGACGACCTTGAACTTGGGCTGCAGGCCGACCGCGGACTCGATGCGGGCGGCCCGCCTTCGGAGGCGGCGGGAGAAGGGGAGGCGACGGAGCCCAGCATAGGCGGCGGCGAGCACAGCGATGACGATGACAAATCCGACAAAGATGCCGGCGGAGCGAGCCGGCGGCGCAGTACGGGTCGCCGTCTCCGTCGGTGAGGCGGCGGCGGCGGGAGGGCTGGCCGGAGCCACCAGAGCACGTCTCTGAGTCACAGCGGTGGAGCTCCGAGGTGGCGGCGGAGGCGCGCCAGTAGCCGGCGTCCACGCCGAGGGACGCGAGAGTGGTGCCGGCGTTGCAGTTGGCTTGAAGCGGGCACGACTTGGTTGCAATGGTCAGTCGGGTTCTCAAAGATGTCGTCTGGATCGGCGCTCGCGTCCTTCAAGTAGAAGTCCTCCTTGCAGATGGAGCAAGTGACGTCGCCGCTCTTGGAGCTGAGGGGGTGGGGGCAGAGAGTGCACTGCGAGAGGCCCTCGCTCGCCGCGTACGGCTTTAGGTGTCCGCCTCGCACTCCTCGCAAGCGGTGCCGGAGGCTGCGTAGTGGCCGATAGGGCAGAGCTCGCAAGCGGGCATGTTGGCCGAGGGGGCGATGCTGCCTGGAGCGCACGCCGTCTGCTGCGTCGAGCCCGTGGTGGCGAAGTGGCCCGGCGAGGCGTCGGTGCACTCGCTCGCGGCGGTCGCGCCCTGGTAGGAGCCCTCGAGGTCAGATCCGTCAGCTCTGTTGATGACAATACTTGTCTGGAGCCGAGCAGGAGGGCCCGGCGCACAACCCCTGTGCAACTCACGGTCCACACCCCGTACTGCCCATAGGCATAGCCATATCATCAAGTCCTCAGCTTAAGAGTTAAGTCCAGAGTCTGCAGACTTTACACTCACACACCCATCCGGTTCGGGTCGCTACTAGTAAGAGAGTCTTGTAGGGCGGGGCGCCGCCGCACGAGGCGCGCCACCGCGATGCGGCGGCGGAGGAGCTGCCACCGCCGGCGGAGCGGCCCCGCGTCGCACGGCACCGCCCCCATGCTTTTTAGTATGAGGCGCAGGCTGATCTCACGATGCTCCGGAGCCGGGTAGAGCGCCACCGCCACCGTGTCGAACAGCTTGTACGGCGGCCGCTGCAGCACCTGCGGCGTCTGCTGGAAGAAGCGACCGAAAGGAACGCCGCCGCAGCTTGGCTCCTGCTCGTGGACCATGGCGATGGTGATGCCTTGGTCCATCGCCGCTTGCACGAGGCGCGCGACAGCGCCGCCGGCGTCAAGAAAGGTCTTGTCGTTCAGGTAGAGCAGGAACACGGGGAAGCCCTCGCACGGGGCCGCGTTGGCTCCCTCGAGCGCCTCCTCCGCATCGCGGATCTCGACCGCCTCGGCGCTGGCGGTAGAGCCGCGCCCCTCCACCGCCGCATTCTTGAGCTCCTCTGCTATACCAAAGGCATCCTCGTTGCCGCGGCACACGAGGATAGTGACGGGGCCGCTAAAGGCAACGGGGCCCGCCTCGCCGGGCACCAGCACTCCGTCGGCGAGCTCGGCCGGGCGGCTCGCGTAGTACGGAGAGTGCAGCAGCATGCGCAGCGCGACAGCCTTGAGCGACACGAGCTGAAAGATGTTCACCCGCACCCACACGATCGGCTTCGCCTCCTCAAATACGCGCGCGATCATCTCGTCTGGCCCGCCGTAGGAAGGGTAGGCGGGCGGGGCGACCTCGACGCAGTTCTCGCGGCACTCGGCCTTCAACGCCTCGATCGAGGCGCCGCCCTTTGCCACGTCTGCCTCGAAGATGGGGATGAAGGGCCGGTCTTTGCCGAGCGCCGCGTACAGCTCACGGCGACAGTTGAAGCTCTTGAAGTAGCCGGCGCTGAGGAAGACGAGGAAGGTATTCGCGTCGGCTACTGACTCCTCCAGCTTGCCCACGTCCTCGAGGTTGTCGACGTCGAGCCAGATCCGGACGCCGGGGAGAAGCAGCTGGAGTCGCCGCACGACGGTGTGCGTCTGGTCCTGGCCAGTTCCCCAGGCGTGCGAGATGAAGCTGTGGAAGTGGCACTCGGGGGACAGCTCGAGGACTGGGGGGCGGCCGGAGGAGCAGAGGCGGATGGTGGGCGCGCGGACGGCGCTGACAGTCTTGAAGAGGACGACGAGCAGCGACGCGGCCAGCATTGCGGCGGTGAGCACGATTACAAACTCACTCGCTCCGCGCGCGCTCTCGAAGCCGACGAGGGTCTTGCACATGTCCTCGTAGGCGGCGCTCTCGCAGAGCTGAATCACCGTTCCGGAGGTGAAGCAGCAGGCGAGAAACAGATTGGCGGTGCACGCGAGGTAGAGGTCGGCGGATCGCTTGAAGGGCCGGGCGAGGGCGAGGACGGCGAGGTAGAGGGCCGAGACGACAGAGGCGACGAAGAGGCGGAGGATCTTGCTCGACCCGGTGTCTGTCTGAATGAAGAGCACCAGCGAGGCGAGGAACAACTTGCGGCCCATATCGACGACCTCCCAGAAGAGCAAGCGCGGGTCGTAGTCGCGCCAGAGGAAGCGGCTGGCTCGGGCCGTGGCCCTGACTCGCTGCGCCCGCACCTCGGAGCGGATCGAGAGCAGGAGCACCAGGAAGGCTAGCGGGACGAGCACCGGCCAGAGGACGAAGAATGCCCAAAAGTACGCGTCGAGGCCGCGGTGCTCGTCGGTGCTGCAGAGCACGTCGAGGTCGGCTACGAGATAGCTGCGTGTGTCCCCGGTGAAGACGTTGATGTTAAACGACTCGCACTGCTTCGCCTTGAAGATGGAGCGCGAGACCGAGGGCAGCACGAGGTAGGCGACGAGGATGGCCCAGTAGAGGAGGCGACGCAGCGTAGAGCGGACGAGGTCGCGACGGAGGCTGCCGGCGCGACCAGACAGAAGCCACTCCGCGAGTGCGTAGCAGGCGATGGCGGCGCCTCCGAGCAACATGGCTGCAAACGGCCACAGACCGGCGAGCAGGAGCCGGTCAGCCATCGAACCGATGCACGCGTCCGGATAGGTGAGGCCGAGCAGATCAAAGCTGATCGAGTCGATGAAGTCGGTCCAGCGCGTAAAGTCCTCGTGGAGGCGGACGCCGTAGACGGGGCCGAGCGTGGCAACGACCTGGTAGAAGCTGACCACGATCTTGAACTTGGGCTGGAAGCCAACCTAAGGTACGGTGGGGTGGTGTCGACACGAGAGGCAAGAGGCGCCCGGTCAGTGGATGGGGGGAGGGTCTGTCCCGCCAACCTGCGACTCGACGATATCAAGACGTGCTCTGAAGCGGTCCCATGCCTCGGCGCGGGCGAGGGCGCGGTACAAGAAGAGCCCTGTCACTGCGAGAGCGACGACGACTCCAGCAAGGACGCCGAACCTTCCCGCCGTCGGGCAGTCGACGCAGCCTCGCTCCGCGCGGCTGAAGTACTGCTCGTCGCTCACGCACCACTCGCAGAGCGGGCCGGTGTGGCCGAGGTCGCAGCCTGGGCCAGCGCCGCCAGAAGCCGCGAGGCGGCGGGAGGTCTGTGCCGCGCCGCCCGAGCCGCTGCAGTGGTCGGAGGCGTCGCAGTCGTGAATCTCGGTCGTGAGGAGCGAGGCGCGCCAGTGGTTGCGCGGGACGCCGAGGGTCTCAAGAGTGGTATTGATCGCGCAGTCGGCATTCAGCGGGCAGGACTTGCAGTGCTTGGTCGGGAAGCGGAAGATGTCATCCGGAAGGGCGCTCGCGTCCTGCAGGTAGAAGCCCTCCCTGCAGGTGGAGCAGGTGACATCGCCGCTCTTGGAGCTGGTAGGGTAAGGGCAGGGGGTACACTGCGACAGGCCCTCGCTCGCCGCGTAGGTGCCCGCCTCGCACTCCTCGCAAGCGGTGCCGGAGGCTGCAAAGTTGCCTGTCGGGCACAGCACGCAAGCAGGCATGTTGGCCGAAGGGGAAATGCTGCCTGGAGCGCACGACGTCTGCTCGGTGGAGCCGGTGGTGGCGAAGTAGCCTGGCGCGGCGTCGGTGCACTCGCTCGCGGCGGAGAGGTTGGTGGCGCGCGAGTAGCTGCCAGCCTCGCACGGCAGCGCCGCCGCCGCGCCAACAGCGCAGTAGCCGCCCGCCTCGCACGGCTTGCACGCCGTCTGCGCCTCCGCGTCCTGGTACGTGCCGGCGGCACAGGGCGTGCACTCGCCCTGCCTGGTCTCGTTCGTGTACGACCCCTTGGCGCACGCCGTCTGCTCGGTGGAGCCGGTGGTGGCGAAGTGGCCCGGCGAGGCGTCGGTGCACTCGCTCGCGGCGGAGAGGTTGGTGGCGGTCGAGTAGCTGCCAGCCTCGCACGGCAGCCCCGCCGCCGCGCCAACAGCGCAGTAGCCGCCCGCCTCGCACGGCTTGCACGCCGTCTGCGCCTCCGCGTCCTGGTACGTGCTGCCGGCGCAGGGCGTGCACTCGCCCTGCCTGGTCTCGTTCGTGTACGACCCCTTGGCGCACGCCGTCTGCTCGGTGGAGCCGGTGGTGGCGAAGTGGCCCGGCGAGGCGTCGGTGCACTCGCTCGCGGTGGAGAGGTTGGTGGCGGTCGAGTAGCTGCCAGCCTCGCACGGCAGCGCCGCCGCCGCGCCAACAGCGCAGTAGCCGCCCGCCTCGCACGGCTTGCACGCCGTCTGCGCCTCCGCGTCCTGGTACGTGCCGCCGGCGCAGGGCGTGCACTCGCCCTGCCTGGTCTCGTTCGTGTACGACCCCTTGGCGCACGCCGTCTGCTCGGTGGAGCCGGTGGTGGCGAAGTGGCCCGGCGAGGCGTCGGTGCACTCGCTCGCGGCGGAGAGGTTGGTGGCGCGCGAGTAGCTGCCAGCCTCGCACGGCAGCCCCGCCGCCGCGCCAACAGCGCAGTAGCCGCCCGCCTCGCACGGCTTGCACGCCGTCTGCGCCTCCGCGTCCTGGTACGTGCCGCCGGCGCAGGGCGTGCACTCGCCCTGCCTGGTCTCGTTCGTGTACGACCCCTTGGCGCACGCCGTCTGCTCGGTGGAGCCGGTGGTGGCGAAGTGGCCCGGCGAGGCGTCGGTGCACTCGCTCGCGTCGGAGAGGTTGGTGGCGGTCGAGTAGCTGCCAGCCTCGCACGGCAGCGCCGCCGCCGCGCCAACAGCGCAGTAGCCGCCCGCCTCGCACGGCTTGCACGCCGTCTGCGCCTCCGCGTCCTGGTACGTGCCGCCGGCGCAGGGCGTGCACTCGCCCTGCCTGGTCTCGTTCGTGTACGACCCCTTGGCGCACGCCGTCTGCTCGGTGGAGCCGGTGGTGGCGAAGTGGCCCGGCGAGGCGTCGGTGCACTCGCTCGCGGCGGAGAGGTTGGTGGCGCGCGAGTAGCTGCCCTTCTCGCACGGCAGCGGCGCCGACGCGCCCTTGGCGCAGTAGCTGCCCGCCTCGCAAGCGCGACAGGATGTCGCGCCCGTGTCGTTCTGGTAGGTCCCGCCCGCGCACTTGTCGCACGCCTCCATCCGCTCGGTCGGCGCGATCGTGCCCACCGCGCACTGCGTCGGACGCGCGGCGCCGCCCGGACACGACGAGCCCGCCGGGCAGTCGAAGCAGTCGGGGATGCCGTCGCCGTCCGTGACGTTGGCGTATGTACCCGGCTCGCACGCCGCAGGCAGCTCGAGCGACGCGCCGACCGGGCAGAAGCTGCCAAGCCCGCACCGGACGCAGCCGGCAGCACCGATGGCGTTCTGGTAGGATCCCGCCTTGCAAGGCTCACACTCGGCGTTGCGCGAGCCGGATGCGAATGTGCCGGCGCGGCAAGCCATGGGAGTCGCGCTGCCAGTGGTGCAAGCGTGGCCCGAAGGGCAGTCCATGCAGCCGCCCGCCGAGTCAAGATTCGTCTTGTTCGAGTAGCTGCCAGCCTCGCACGGCAGCGCCGCCGCCGCGCCCGGCTCGCAGAAGCTGCCTTGCTTGCACGGCTTGCACTCCGTCTTGCCGCCCATGTCCTGGTACGTGCCGCCGGGGCAGGGCGTGCACTCGCCCTGCCTGGTCTCGTTCGTGTACGACCCCTTGGCGCACGCCGTCTGCTGCGTCGAGCCCGTGGTGGCGAAGTGGCCCGGCGTGGCGTCGGTGCACTCGCTCGCGGCGGTCGCGCCCTGGTAGGAGCCCTCGACGCAGAGCTGGCAGACCTCGTTGCGCGGGCCGCTGGCGAAGCTGCCCTCGCCGCACGCCGTCTGCTCGGTGGAGCCCCGGGCGGCGATGTGGCCCGGAGCGGCGGGCGTGCACTGCGAGGCGGCAAACAGGTCCGTCTTGTTCGAGTAGGAACCGCCCTCGCACGGCAGCGGCCTCGACGCGCCCGGCTCGCAGTAGCTGCCTTTCTCGCAGTCGCGGCAGCCAGTTGCGCCCGTGTCGTTCTGGTACGTCCCGCCCTCGCATTGCGCGCACTCGGAGAGGCCGCCCGTGGCGGCGTAGCTTCCCTTGGCACACGGCGTCTGCTGCGTCGAGCCCGTGGTGGCGATGTGGCCCGGCGAGGCGTCGGTGCACTCGCTCGCGGCGGCGAGGTCGGTGGCGTTCGAGTACGACCCGGCGGGGCAGGGAAGGGGCACGCTCGTCCCTTCAGAGCAGAAGTAGCCGGCGTCGCACGGCCGCATCTCAACAGTTGCCTCGTCGGGACATTGGTACCCGGCGACGCATCGCCCTGCGCAATTGCTGCTCATCTGATTCCTCAAGTCGTCTGAGCCGAGGAGACCGGCCGCACAAGCAAAGGGAAAATCCTTGTCGACGGGCTCTAGTGGCAACCGATAGAGCGTCTCGCCGAGGAGGGAGGCGTCGCCCTTCCAGTTGCACGGCTGAAACACCGGGCTCGGTTCTTGGCAATACATGGGCGACTGGTCGACTGGTTCTACTGCGGTGAGCGCGCAGTCTTCGCGGTGCTCGAGGCACGCCTTCTGCTTGGCCTGATAAGAAGGGTAAGTGCACGCCCCCCGGTAGACCTCGCATCGAGCTGCTGGCAGCCAGCGCCCGGGCGGGGCGGGGAGGGCGTAGGAGACCTCGCCAGCGAGAAGGAAGATGGAATTCCCCTGACCCTTGGCAGAGCAGCCGCTGATGAGTGTGCCGTCGCTAAGGGAGGTGCGCCCTCCCTCCGAGTAGAGGCCGCCGCCAGACTCGAAGGCGAAGCAATTGGAGATGGTGGAGCGGGCCAGGCTGGCTGAGCCCGACCCCACGTACACTGCGCCGCCTCGAAAGGCATTGCAGCCAGAGATGGTGGAGTCGGTCACGATGAGGTCGCTGTTCCACGTGTATGTGGCTCCACCGCGCTGCGGTTGCGAGGAGAGAGCGGGGTGAGGCAGCCGTGGCCCCTCTCTATCACTCGACCCGCTGCCGTGCGGCGCTGCAGGGGTGGCGGCTAGCTCTACGCGGCGCACCCCCCCGTACGTGCCAATAGCCCTGCAGCTCGTCACGTTCGAGCCGATTATCGAGACCGCACCGTTGCGAGACGCGTAGACGACGCCGCCGGACTGCGGTTGCGAGGAGAGAGCGGGGTGAGGCAGCCGTGTCCCTCGGGTGGCGACTAGCTCTACGCGGCGCACATCGCCAGCCGAGCAGCCCGACACGTTCGAGCCGGTTATCGAGATCGCACCGCTGTCATCCGCGTAGACGACGCCGCCGGACTGTGGTTTCGAGGAGAGAGCGGGGTGAGGCAGCCGTGTCCCTCTCTATCACTCGACCCGCTGCCGTGCGGCGCTGCAGGGGTGGCGGCTAGCTCTACGCGGCGCACATCGCCAGCCGAGCAGCCCGACACTGTCGAGCCGGTTATCGAGATCGCACCGCTGTCCTCCGCGTAGACGACGCCGCCGGACTGCGGTTGCGAGGAGAGAGCGGGGTGAGGCAGCCGTGTCCCTCTCTATCACTCGACCCGCTGCCATGCGGCGCTGGAGGGGTGCGGCTAGCTCTACGCGGCGCACCTCGCCAGTCGAGCAGCCCGCCACGGTCGAGCCGGTTATCGAGATCGCACCGCTGCCCTCCGCGTAGACGACGCCGCCGGCCTGCGGGTGCGAGGAGAGAGCGGGGGTGAGGCAGCCGTGTCCCTCTCTACCTCTCGCCCCGCTTCCGTGCGGCGCTACAGGGCCGGCGGCTAGCTCTACGCGGCGCACATAGGTAGCAGAGCAGTCCCTGACGGTCGACTCGATGATCTCGACGTCGCCTGCGCCGTAAGCGTACACAACGCCGCCGAGGCCCGCCGTCCCGTTGACGAGGGTCAGCCCCCGCAGGGTGAGGCTGCAGCCGCCCGAGAGGTAAAAGAGCCCGGTCTCTCCCTGGCCGTCGAGCGTCGCGCCCTCGCCGCTGCTGGCGACGGTCACTTTGATGGTGGAAGAGCAGCTGATCTGGCTGCCCAGCTTGAAGTGCGCACCGGGCGGCAGGTAGATGGAGACGTTGGCATCAGCCTCTGTGATCAGGGAGCGGAGCTTAGCCTCGCTCACCGCGGCGACATCAAAGCCGGGGGAGAGCGGCGGCAGCGGGGGCGGTGATGGCGGTGATGGCGGAGCTGGCGGTGAAGGCGGCCCGGTCGCCCAGCAGATCTGACGGCAGAGGGAGGAGGGCATCAGAGAGGAGACGGAAGGGGAGCGAGAGGGACCAGGGGCACGCCTTCCAGCCCGACCTGACCCCGTAGCCATCCGACCGCCACTCGATGACGCCGTCCTGCGCCACCGCGCCACTCGGCCCCGAGGTGCCGCAGTACTTCTTGCCGTTGACGGTGAGGTAGTCCTTGTAGCAGTCGTCCGTGAAATCGCCATTGCCGTCGTAGTCGGTAGAGCTCCAGCACCACTTGCGGCAATCCTCTTCCCCCGCCGGCGGAAGGTCCCAGTTGCCGCAGCCTTCTTCTGCGCCGCCAGGCACATCGGTGCACAGCTCACAGAAGCCGCTGTCGCCTTTGTCGTAGTTGCAAAACGCGACCCCCACTTCCTCGCAGCCGCAGGGCGAGGGCCACGACGGGTCCACATCAAAGGCGACCGTCTCCAGCTCGACCGTCGGCACGCCGCTGATGGTGCACGCCTCGTTCCTGCCGTAGCTGTTCGGGTAGTTTGGCGACGTGGCGCACGAGCCGCCGTCGGTGAGCGAGCACGGGCCGATGATGAAGTAGCCGCCAGGAGGGAGCGGCGGCGCTGGGATGGAAGGCGGGTACGGCCGAGCCGGGGGTACGACGGAGCAATCAATGCCACCAACCATTATGCACTCTTCAGCGTTCGGTGGCCCCATGTCTCCGGTAGGATCGTAGGGATAGCATCCCGAAGGGATCTCATCAAGGCACGCGACGCACTTGCACGCGACGCATCCGCCACATGCATTCTGCGCGGCCACCCTGCCGACGAGCAGTGCGGCGGCGGCCAAGCGGACGCGGGCGGACTGCTCGAGCGAGGCGACTCGCGAACGCCCAAGCAGCAAGGATCCCGCGCAGACCAAGCCGAGGCCCGTCTCGACCAGCTTTCGGAGCTGCCCGCCGGCGGTCCACGACTCGAGCACCTGGGCGGCACAGGAGTGGCGCTCAGGCTCAGACACACATGCTCAGACAGCGCCGGCGATGGAGGTGGCGGCGGGGGAGGGGGGAAGGGTGGCGGGGAAGGGAGGTGGGGAGGGCGGCTGGGGGAGGGCGGCGCCACGGCGCTCTTGGAGTAGGCCGTGGCGGTCGTGGATTCCGTCTTATTGCTCGTGGGAAGTAGTCGGGAGTAGTCGGTGTTGTCCGTCGTCAGGAGGGTGGCGTAGGCCTGCGACTTGCGGAGCGGGATGAAGAGCCACGGCGAAGCGGGGCGGCTCACGACCTCGCCGCGCGAGATGGAGTCGGAGAGGGCTGGCGCGCGCGCGGCCGCGCCCAGCACCTGCGCGGCGAGGGGGGGGGGGGGGGGGGTTCTCGGAAGGGGCTCGCAAGATGAAGTCGGCCGGCGCGGCGCCGCACCTTCCGCTCCGAGGCGAGGTAGGTGACCGTCGTCTTGGGCGACGGGCGCAGGAGCGCGTTGATGCGCTCCTCGCTGGGCATGGTGAGCCGCTCGACACCGAGGGCGGAGAGGTCCGCGGCCTTGTTGGGTTTGCGCGAGGCAGACGCCGCGAGGGCGAGCGCCGGCACAAATGTCTCGAGCTTGATGCTGAAGTCGGTGCGGTTGCGCGTGTCGATGAGTGCCCCCCCGCGCCGCGGATGGGGGCGAGAGGAGGCGATTGAGGGCGTCGCGAGAAGAGCGAGGGCGAGCATTTACAATGTGTACACGTATATGACGGCGGGAGATCGAGATGCACGATATGAGAAGAAAAAAACGCGGGAGGTGAGTTTACCGACTGCACTCCAAGTGCTCCAAGTTAAGTGATTCGTCTCACGTGTTTTCGTCCCTGTCTCACTTTCAGCGTCTCCATCGCCTCTCAAATTTTCTTTACTCCGTCTCACTGCTGTCTCTATCGCGTTCTTGTCCGTCTCAGCAACATTTAGTCTCACTGTCAGTCTCAACTTTGGATGAGACAACTCAACGTGCCCTAGTGTCGTGACGTCTCAACCGTTGCGTGAGCCTGCAGCTGAGGACTGCCCAGTCCCCAGAGACATGAAGATTAGCAGTCACGCGAGCCTACTGTCTGAATACGTTTTCCACGTATTCCAAATGACCTCCCAGAGGCCTGTATTCTGCCGTATTCCACCCGTATTCCACGTATTCCATGGAATACGCCGTATTCCAAGCTCCCAAAATGGACGTATTCCGTATAAAATTTTCTTCGCTCCGCGAATTCAGACAGTAGGCACGCGAGTCTCATATTTTGTCTCTCTCCTTCTACTTCTACTTCCAGGTCTCCACGGCGATGGCATGCACACACGCGCGCCAAGAGTGAGCGGTCATGAGACAAGAACTTCGAGGAATTTGAGACGAGCCCGAGACCAAAACTGAGACCACTCCTGAGCCAGCGGTCTTCTCAGTTTTTGCCAAAAGGTCTCAACACCGTCTCACTGTAACTCGTGAGATGATTGTGAGACTGACACTGTAACGCCCACCGATCGACCGCATCTCGGCCGGTAACCAAACCGGACACATGTTCCGCGACCCGGGAGTGTGGGTTTGCGATTCCCAAGGGCCTTGTTGGCAGCAGCCAGCTTGTTGCGCTGCTTCGTTGCGATGAGCTGATTGGGATCGCAGAAGTGCATGCCAAGCACCGCCACGAACTTGAAGCAGAACACATCGCAACCGCATCGTCCGCACTGCCATCGGCATGCCGCGCCCGCCGCTTCGCCGCAGCCGCCTTAAGACACGCATAGCGGCAGCACATGGTACGGTGCGCGTACTTGAGCAGGAGTTGCGCGCCGCAAGTAGCGCACTGGCCCTGGGACAAGGCGATATGGCGTCGTGCGCGGCATACGTTGTTGGTCGGGACGCGTCCAGGTATTTTTGAGCACTTGAGCACTGGATAGGGTCGATTCCGCATGGTACGGGACCCGGGTAAACCTGGACTTTTGCAGGTAGGGATCCCTACACCCGGGTTTTACTGTGTCGTCTAAGTTCATGGCCTCCGACCATACAGCGTCTAAGTCCGAGCCCGCCCGGCCGGCTCCGTGCGGGGGCTAAGTTGAGCGCTCGCTCGCTGCAGAGGCTAAGAGCGACCCTCTAGCCCTACTACCCAACCATTGGTCTGACAGAGGCACCTGACAGTGCCTCACAGTGCCCGACAGCCCGACAGAGATCAACTGACAGCACCTGACTGCCTGACAGCCAGGGCTCAGCGTGTAGGCTCTCTCTTGAAAAAAAGTTGTCGAGCGCAGGTCGCAGCGCGGGAGAGCGGTTAAAAATAAACGAGCTGATATATACACTCTGCTCGAACTAATTCTATTTGATTAGCTCGAACGCTTTCGGCGCTCGCAATATATCGGCATCGTCATTTACAGCTAGCCCTACTAATCGTATTGTCCCAGGCACAAATGTTCCAAAACAAATGGAACGCTCTGGCGTGGTACACATCCTGAGTTGTTCAGATTGAGAAGCATTTGCTCCTTCGTCAGCGCGCGTGTGTAGTTGTCAGGGTCAGTGGTGCAATAACGAGTCTCTTCCCTGAAGCAGAAAGAGCCATTGGAGACGTGCCTAGCAGCAGAAGCAGGAAAGCGTGAGATTGGAAGTGCACACCGCTTCATCTTCAGATGTTGAGCTTGCATTTTTTCAAACACTTCTGTGTTAATGGCTTGCATCTTATTGTGACAAAGATGCTGATAAAAGTCCAGCCTTTCAGCCATAAAGCGCAGGCCGTTGTCTCTGCGCATCACTTGCAACCTCATGTTCACCCCGCCCCAGGCCAGCACAGCCTTGGAGGCGAGGTCGCAGTCTGGCGTCAGCACGTGGCTGAGACGCAAAGGATGGAATAGAAACGTGTCCTCGCGTGCGCTCACGATGTAATCATAACGGTTGCCCCTGAAACTCTCCAAGATGCGAATGCCCGCGGCGCATTTTACTTGATTTGCATACATGCTGAGTACCCTGTCCTGAATGCGTGCGTGTTGTTTAATTGTGTTCAATTTGGGGCACGTCAAATTAGACTTCCAAAACTCAGCAGTCTGGTGTCCATCCGCCTTCACGACATGCACCCGGTGTGGGCCAGGGATGGACTCCAGAGCCAATCGCAACTGTGACGGTCCCAGGTTTGCCATAGGCGATGGTTCATACGTCCAGCCCGCCCCTGAGGAGTAGTACAGCTCATTCTCTTCATCGAGGACATAGATAACATCAAACGAGTACATTGGATTTGGAGCCACAATATTCGTCACAAGGTTTGTTGGCATCAGACGGCTTTGCATCCCAGTTACGCAGACTGCAACCGCAGGCTTTTGGTCCCGTTGGTGGCTCGGTCTCACATACAGCTCTCGCACCAAATCCAATGACGAGAGCATCTCGTAAAATGTGGTGCTCAGCCTTCCGGACAAAGTGCGTACCTGCAGGCAGCAACCGCCAACACATGTCAGGAGAAGGCACGAACTCATTCTCAGCAGCTACATTTTCTCCCTCGCGCAATATCAAAGCGTTACCACCAATACCAGCGCTTCCCGCAGGTCCCCGCAGAGCCTCATCACGCTGTGTCGCTCCCGGCAGATCAAAGCAGCGTCCAACACGCCACATCCAGAACGTTTCGAGGCGTGGATCGGCACACCCACAAGGCGGAGGCGGACGCGGGGCGCGGGCAAAGACAGGGCTGGGGCAGGGCGCCACAGAGAAGGTGGAGGCTCGCCTGGAAGCGTTCCCTCGAAGACCTTCTAGTTTTTACGAGCGACACACAGCCACAAACAGGCTCACAAGACTGGCCGAGGCTCCGCTGCACCGCGCGGTCAGATTTCGAAGGCAGCGAACGCATCGCGATCATCCTGGAATGAGTAAAAAAGAGAATTTTGTCTGACCGTTTGAGTTTCACCCGTCGCCTGGCCGAGAATTTGCCTCTTGCACCGTGCTCCTCGCCGCCTCGCCGCTCTCGCCGCTCGCCGCTCGCAACCTCGCCCGCATGCTCCACGCCTCCGCCATCCCAACACGCATCCGCGAAGGCGTCAAGCACCGGCTCGCGGCCAAGCAGGACGCCGAAGATGGCGGGCGCACGTCTCCGGTTGCCGAGGTTGCAGCTTGCACCGAGTCTTTGACGAGCCCCGCCTCTGGCTCCACGATCATCCGCGCGCTGGCGCGGTCAGGCGTGGCCGAGATCACGTCTCCAGTCTCCTTCAACATCCGCGCGCTCGCCGCGGTGCCCAGCACGGGCGGGGAGGAGGAGGTCGAGGAGAAGGAGGTGGCGTCCCTGCGGCTCTCAGCGGAGCGCCCAGGCTCGTCTGCCGACGAGCGGCCGTCCAATCCAGTGTGCGGGATGGAGGCGAAAACGGCCGCGCGTCTCACGCCGGAAGCCGTCCCGTCGCCGCTCCCTTTCCTCAGCACGCCGCCACTAGAAGTCCCGTCTCCGTCCGCCTTCCCGCACGGCGGCCAAGGCAGCGACGGCGGCATGTGCGGCGAGGTGTGCTACTTGACCTCGCTGGGCGAAGGCGAGGCCGCGCACGCCACCGCCACATCCTCTGGCGGCCGGCCTTGCGACCCGGTCGCCTCCTCCCTGGCCGAGCGCGACGGCTGCAGCTCGCTGGATAGCTGCGCGACGGTGCTCGACGACCCGTGCAGTGGATCGTCCTCGGATGAGGCGACGGAGGGGGCCGACTCGCCGCCGCGACTGCTGTGCACGCACGACGCCGCCATCGCGACGTGCCGCCACCCAGTCGCAGGCGCATCGCTCCGCAAACCGCAGCGCTCCGCTGCGCGCCTCCTCCTCGCCACGCTCCTCGCCGCCGTCGCCCTCGGGCCGATTCTGCACGCCCTCGCGGCGCGCCTCGCGCCGCCGCCGCCGCCGCCGCCGCTGCTGACGCCGCCGCCGCCGCCGCCGCCGCCGGCCGCGTGTGACATGCACATGGTCGGCGTGCGCGACTACTCGCGCCTCGCGCCGGCAGGAAGGCACGCGGGGCGCCGTGCCGGCGGCGTGGAAGCGCCCTTCCCTGTCGGCGGCGGCTTCCCGGGGCTGCTCGGCTGAGACCCTGGGGGAGGCTGCCGCTGCCAGTGGCTAGCACGCGGCGGCAGGGCTGGCGCCGCGTGCCAGCCAGACGACACATTCCTAGACACATTCCCCGTGGAGGGGAGCTGGCGCGGGCCTGAGAGTTCTGTCTTCTTGTACGTGGACGTGGACGAGCGAACCATGAAAAAGAAAAACCGGACCCCGCCACCAGCAGCAGGGCAGACGACGGGGAGGCGGAGCAGACGCGCAGGGCGAGACGAGGGAGGGAGCAGGATGTTGCTGAGATCAGCAGGAGGATGTGATGGAGATGTACGACGAGATTAGGAGCAGCACCCAGCAGGGACCCGAGGGACCATGTGGAAGACGGCTAGTGCTAGTCCCCCATCGGGAGGACGACCCCGGCTAGTCGCCGACCACACCCACAAAGAACCAAAGACCGCAGGGCGGGGACCTCTTTCCCTTTTACCCATTTCGTAGTAGAGCTGTCCGTGCTCTCCGTGTTATTTATTTACCAGCAGCAGGTCCTCTGCTCGACTCTCGCATGCCCGCCAAGCGCGGGCGAGAGGGCGGGCCGCCTGACGAGGACGCGGATAAACGCCCGCGCCAAGCAGCCGGGCCCAGCGACGCCACTCCCGGCGACGCGCTCGAGGCGCTCCGCGCCAAACGCCAGGCCAAGCTCTCTTCCGAGCAGGCGGCCGCGGCCGAGTCTTCGTCGGCGCTGTCGGAGAGGGCGGCGGGCAAGCAGCCGGCGGCCTCCTCCGCGCAAGGCGCGGCCGCCTCCCGCACCCGCGCGCCGGGCGGCGACGCCGACGAGTCGTATTTCGACGATGACGAGCCGCAGCAGCCGCGGCCGGCGGGCGCGACCAACGGCGTCGGCCACACCAACGGCGTGGGCGGCAGCCACCACGGCAACGGTGCCGGCAGCAGCGGCCACGCGCCGGGCGAGGGCGCGGATGCAGCGGCTGGCGAGGATGCGGCGGCCGATCCTCTCGAGGCGTACATGGCGCACGTGTCGTCGCGGCTGTACCTGGGGAAGGAGGGGGACGGGGAGGAGAGGGCGGCGCAGCGCACCTCGCGCTGCGTCTGCTTCGAGAACCTCATCTCGCCCGAGCGCGCCGCCGCCGCTGCCGACGAGGCGCACCAGGTCCGGATGGAGACGGGGACAGAGTGCTCCCGCTGGGGGACGCTGCTGCGTGTGCACGTGCCGAGCGGGGCGGACGCGGCGGAGGGGGGAGCCCCTCCCCCGGGGGGGGGGCTCGGCCGCGTCTTTGTCGAGTTCGAGGCCGAGGACGCCGCCGTCGAGTGCGCGCGCGCGCTGGATGGCCGGCTCTTTGATGGCCGGCGCGCGGACCCTTCCGAGACACTTCCGAGTCTCTTCCGAGACACCTCCGAGACGCCTCCGAGACACCTCCGAGACTCCTCCGAGACACCTCCGAGACACCTCCGCATTTCCGAGACACCTCCAAGAGAGATTCCCGCCTGCGAGTGTCGTCGTCCGCGGCAGGGATGCAACACTGACCAGACACTGACCGACCGACCGACTCACTGGCTTCACTGACCCCACCCCTCGCCCCTCCGCCCGCCAGGCGAGTGACGGCACTCTACTACCCGCTGGGCGCCTTCTACGAGGGGGACTTTGCGGACGAGGGCGCCCCGCTGCAGGTGACTCACTCTCACACCGCTCACCCAACGCACCGGGCCCTTGCACTTTGAATGCCGTGCGGCTCCTGTCGTCTAGACGTGGAGTCGCGAGGGCGGCCTGGCCCCTGCCCCCCCCACCTCGTGTGTGCGGAGAAGTCCACCTTGCTTGACTTTCCCTTCCTTAGGCGACGTCCATCACCTGGGACGATATCGTCGCGATGAACTCGCGACCGGCCAGCTCGTGGGACACGATGGACGGCGAGGGCGGCGGCGGCGCCGCGAGCGGAGGAGGCAACCCGTATGGCCAGAGCGACGTGGAGCAGAGCGACGCAGAGGAGGCGGCGGACAAGGAGCCGCCCGGGGACGACACCGACCAGTTCCACGCCCAGTTCATGCAGCGGATGCGGCAGCAAGCGGACGACGCCGCGCGCTCGCGAGAGAAGGCGGCGCAGGAGCTGATGGGCACCGGCGACGACGCGATGGACGCGCGCGCTGCGTCACTCCCCATATCTCCCCATATCTCCCCATATCTCCCCATCTCTCGCGCAGGCACGGCTCGCGCTGCGCCACTCCCAACATCTCCCCATATCTCCCCATATCTCCCCATATCTCCCCATATCTCGCGCAGGCGCTCGTTGAGGAGTTTCCGGACATGGCGGAGCATGCGGACGTCGACTCCGACTCCGACTCCGACGCCGAGGCCGCCAAGCTGGCCGAAGTGGCGCGCGCCAAGAAGAAGGAGCTGCCGCGCGTCGACCACTCGACCGTCACCTACCTGCCGTTCCGAAAGAACTTTTACATAGAGGTGCCGGAGAGGAGAGGAGGGGAGGGAGAGGCAGGGGGGAGGGTAGGGGGAGGGGGCACGTCCCCGCCTGCCCCTCCTCCATCCGGACGCACGAGATGAGGTCGAGCCTAGAGACGGCTCCGAGAAGCTTCAGAGACAGTTCCTGCCCGTGTTCCTCCGCGCGCAGGTGCCGGAGATCAAGCGCATGAGCGACGAGGAGGTCGCCGCCACGCGCCTCGCGATGGACAAGCTCAAGGTGCGCGGCAAGCGCGTGCCCAAGCCGATCAAGAAGTGGACGCAGTGCGGCCTCTCCGACGCCGTCCTCGCCGTCATCGAGAAGAGCGGCTACGCGGCGCCCTTCCCGATCCAGTCGCAGGCACTGCCCACGATCATGCAGTGGAGGAAGACCTTTCCTAGACCTTTCCTGGAACCTTCCTATAGGCGCTGCCCACGATCATGCAGGGCAGGCACGGCTCGCGCTGCGCCACTCCCAACATCTCCCATCTCTCCCCATCTCTCCCCATCTCTCCCCATCTCTCCCCATCTCTCGCGCAGGCACGGCTCGCGCTGCGCCACTCCCAACATCTCCCATATCTCCCCATATCTCCCCATCTCTCCCCATCTCTCCCCATCTCTCCCCATCTCTCGCGCAGGCACGGCTCGCGCTGCGCCACTCCCAACATCTCCCCATATCTCCCCATCTCTCCCCATCTCTCGCGCAGGGACGTCATCGCCATCGCCAAGACCGGCTCCGGCAAGACGATGGGCTACACGCTGCCGATGTTGCGACACGTGCTCGACCAGCCGCCGCTCGAGAAGAACGACGGGCCGATCTCTCTCATCATGGTCGGCACCTGTCGCAGCGCGGGCGGTGGCTGTGAACCGCGTCTCTTCACACCTGCAGCTGTGAGCAGGTCCCGACGCGCGAGCTCGCCATGCAGGTCTACCGCGAGGTGCACAAGTTCGCGCGGCTCACCCGCATCCGCGTGGTCCCGGTGTACGGCGGCGCCGGCATCAAGCAGCAGATCTCCGAGCTGCGGCGCGGCGCCGAGGTCGTCGTCTGCACGCCAGGCCGGATGATTGACATGCTCACCGCCAACGGCGGCCGCGTCACCAACCTGCAGCGCGTCACGTACGTGGTGCTCGACGAGGCGCGACCGCTCCCCCTTCCCCCCCCCTCCATGATGCTAATCGTCATGGGGCCCTA